ATGAGTAGCATATTTATCTTAACTTTCAATATACTTTTAAAGGAACTTTCAGGGTGGATGAGTACCTCTCAACTCCCTTTTTTAAGGTTTAGCTTTATTTGTTAACTTTCTAATAACCTTAACTTTATAATTTCTAACTTAACTGTCTAATTTCAGATCACTGTCTCTTGCACCAATAGTCATGATATGTTCCAGTCTTTTATCCTAGAATATTTGGAGGAGGCCCATCCTCAGTTCCCAATTTCAGTGCCTAGTATTTCATGACTTTGGAGAACACAATTCCAGTTTATGCCTGTTCACACACGTGGCGTGTAACCAAAGCTACACATAAAAGCAAGCTCCTGAAGCAGTTCACCACTCTTCACAGAGCTCAAATTGCTGAGCAGCTCCTCAGTGGTAATTTCTGTGCCAATCCAAGTGTGAAGTTGCCCCAAAGATGCACTGCTTAATCCTTGCATCATAAGCAGTGGAATTTTTACAAAGGAAGAAAAGGTGTTCTGGTATCTATTACAGACTGAACCTACCCCCTGCTGCTGGCTCAAACGGCACAACAATCAAAATAGTGTGACCATGTCATGATCACAGAGCTAAAAACAATTATTTGGAGCCACATACATCTTCAAATTTGCAACATGAATGAGCAAAATGCAGATGCCCAAGATAATGAAAATGCAAAGATACATTTGTGGCAGCTTTCCAGAACTGCAAGAATTTTGTCTCTGTATTTCCAAATACTGAAATAATTAAAAAATGCAGTCTTATTGTGAAAGATCAGCTGACAGATCCAGGTGTCCAGCTAGGTTCCTAAGAAATTCACTGTACTTAAAGAAATGACCAGCATGCACGTATTTTGAACCACACTTCCAAACACATTTCCAGATAAATTTCTGGAGATGGATCTGGAGCCAATTTTTTCTAATGTGTTTAGGGAGGAGCTCTTTGTCAAGTCTGTTCTCAGGCCAGAGCTACAGCCTTCCTCAGAGCCCTCTGTTGAAGTTGGACCAAGAGCCATCACTAGCGCCCTTCCCTAGAGCCACATCTACAGTTGGCCCTAGAGTCATTTCTAGAGCACTTTCCACAAATAACACTTAGGCCAATTTTAGAGCCCTTTCCAGAGTGGGACTAGGGCCATTTCTTGAGGTCTCTTCTAGGTTCAATTGCCCAGCCAATTTATTTGAGATGGATTTAGAGGATGTTCTAGAGCACCTTCCCGTAGCAGTTTCTGGAGCTCTTTGTAGAGGCCTTTACTAGAGCTGTTCTAGAGGTGTTTCTCTCATAATGCTTGTCTAGAGCTAATTCTAGAGGCCATTTCTGGAGACCGTATCTAGAGCTGGGCCTAGGACAAATTGTACAGGGCATTGCTGGATCTGGAACCATTTCTGGTGTCTTTTTTAAATCTGGCTCGGTAATTTTGGAGAAGGAACCAGAGCCATTTCTAAAACCTGACCTGAAGTCTTTTTCTAGAATGCCTTTTCCTGTAGAGTCCTGCAAACTGAAATAGCTTTTCAATTGAGAATTCACTTTGAGAATCATATGTATAATACTAGTGTCTAATACAGAGTAAAAAAAGAGTATTTTGAAAAAGCTGAATTACCTCAAGCCTATGAATTCTCTCCATCCTTGTTATTCAAGGGAATATTTAGAAAAAAAATCTCCACAATAAACTTCCATGCAGAAATTAAAATATTTACCACATGCAGATTACACACACACATTATTTCTATTAATTTACACATCTGCTACCAAAACCACGAACTCTCTTTTCAAGAATGTCACCTTCAGCAGGCAAAACTGACATGGATCACCAGGAAATACTCACCTTCAGAAACAGCTAGATGTAAAACAAAAGATCTCCCAAATCATCATTCTCATCCATTTGTATAGTATCTAAATACATCAAACATGCAGTGCACAACAGGCATTACAGAAATACAAAGGGGCAGATGGTCACAGAGTAACAAGGGAGTGCAAAGAGAATGAATGAATATTTTAAAACCGTAAACAGATCAAACCAGCAGATTTAAATGTACACAGCATAACTTCATATTACAGGAAGTAACACTTTCATACAGAAAAGGTATATTAGGCATTCAGATTCCACTTCCAAAATCTGTATGCAAAGCCATGCTTTTCAAGTAAATTGGCATGACTTTGGCATTCTTGAAGTTTGGTTGGTTTAGTAAAATTTAACATTCTTTGTAGATTTATCAGAAACCAAATTTCCCGCTATGGTTTGAAGAGAATAAAGCATAACAGCTAATTACTCTTAAATAAAAAATAATAAAAAAAAAAAATGGATGTGTTACATATTCAATGCCTGGGTCAGAATGAAAAATACTAGCTTTCTGCTAAGGAATACAAAACCATCTATACTAGTACATCATTTTTACCCATAAAATTTAGACAGGTATAGGTCTAAATAGAAAATATGTGTAAAATATGTCTTATTTATATATAAATGGCATTTAGTGATCAAAATAAATCAGTGTAACGGTGTTCCACACTGGCCCTTGTCAGAGTTTCAAACAAGTATGCCAGGACATTTTCTTCACTTATGTACCAAAGATTAGTTTGGTATGATAGGTATCTTTTAGGAATACCCTCGTTTCCTGTCTCCTTCCACTCTCAATGTCAATCATTGGTGATATTTATGTATCACATGTCTCAGTTCACTAGTATTATTTTCTTCAGCACAGAAAACAAAACACTGGAGTATAAAGCTCTTTCACGTATTTAGGGCAAAATGGATTCAAACAACTCATCAAGCACCCTGAGCATGAAAGTGACACTGCAATTAGATGACACTATGGCAGAAAATAAATTCAGGAATAAATGAATTTATGAATTTAAGGAGAGTTTATATCACACTTGACACTGCCATTTCTGTTCACTGGAAAGTGAAGGCAAGTCAGCAAGGGTTCTGAAAACATTACAGCTCTACAGATCAAGCAATACCTAGAAATCAGTGGCGATTTCTTGTCTGCAGAATGGAACCCAAGAACAAGGGGACACCTCTTCCCTGTACTGTAAGAGCTGCTAAAGAACTCCATATTCCAGCAAATATCATATGTATCATAATGTTGCAAACCTTATAAAGTATTTGAAATGTATTAAATCAAATGTAAAGCTTAGCTGTGAGAGTCCCTCTAAATTTCCAGTCCTTCAGTAGAAGAAATGAATATGTGCAAAATACAAAATCTGGCATTACTTTCCTCGCAACTTATTTTTAATAACATAAAAATCTAAAATCAATAACAATTTGAGTCACGCAAGGGAGAAGGGGAATATTTAGTTAACTGTTACCATAGGACACCTTCATACAACAGGAAGAAAACTAATTGCTGCTTATGACCTACTTAAGGACCAGGGAAAGGAACTGTGAAAACCTAATCCTCTAATGACTTCAGTGGGAAGTCTAGTCACACAGCAACGTTAGGTAACAGTATCAAAAGAAGAAATAAATCACGCCACAACTACCCTTATTTATCTGTCCCTCTCTTTCTTATTTTGTTTGTCCAGCGTGGCTATGACATGAAAGCTAGGCTCTTAGTTTTGCAACAATTTACACATTTGTCCCTGAATGAAACAAAGCCAATATGACTGTATAAATCAGACTTTACAGGGTAGGTCTTGGAAGGAAGAGATTAAATCTAAAAATCAGCAATGTGTTTTTAGCACTACCTCTTTGCTTTTAAACATCTGCTCTGTAAAGTGATTCTGACAGTAAGGTAAAACTATGCTTTTCCTAGTTTCCCGTGTGCAATAGCAACCTATCACAGATAAGTGACCTATGATTTTAAAAAAACCCACTGTAAAACCACTCATCAGATAAAAATGCTCCTGTAACATAGTTATCATATCAGCAACTGAAAATTTTGTTTGATTGCCTGATTTCCAGGAATATCATAACACATTATAATTCCTTTCAAATCTAATGTACAACACAGCAAAGCCATGAATAGGGCTGCACACACAATCAGCAGTCTGATGCCACCATCAGCTATGGTGTTAGGCTGCTTTCTGTGCAAGAGGAATTTTTCTGTTGGCTAACAAAGATGGCACAGCTTGCCTAAGATTACCAGAACAATATCGTTTGTTGTATAACTCAAAGCTAATACACACAATTATAATAATTTTCTTTAAGTATTCAAATGCTAGCAGGATCTTACATTTATCAGAAAATATCTTTACCATAAACTGGAGTTTCCCAAGCTCAAGTGTGTTAGAAACCAGGAAATGGCAAAGGAAGTGGAGCTGTAACCTCAGTAAGCGGGCTTTGTAAGCAGAAAACCTTGCAAACGTTTGCCATAAACTAGTTCTAAACCACATTATACAGCTACAATTGACAGCACTTTAGTTCTTGGCTGGAGTCTGAAGTACACAAACCAACAAAAAAAGCTGTGACAACCTCCCACTGACAAGTATATTAAATTGATACTTGGTTATTGATAAATATATCAGCTTGCTGGTGCAGGTTGTCACAGCAGTACACAGCTGTACAATACAGGAAGCACTAAACACTTTGTGTCAAGGTAACGGTCATACTCTTTCTGCAAGGCAGATCTTGAAGCACCCATTAAAAATATTTTGCAATGTGACTGGTAAACACAAATAACACTTGAATTACTTTATGGATATTTTAATGAAATAAAAAGTTGGGCTTTCAGAAAAGGACCCTTTTCTATAAACTATATGGGAGAATATTTATAAAGGTGCACCACTCATCTCATATGCAAAATAATATTTCTCCTTGCTGCAATATTATAGAATAAGGAGATTAGTGCCTCATTTAATGAATATTTTTAGCAAGCATGGTGAACGTGATGTCAGACAGATACAGGCACTAGAATCACACAGTTCAGTCAAAAGAGCAGACACTGGTAGGATGACGTAAGAATCTCAAGGGCATGCAAAAAAAGCCATCACTGAGAAGCTTGAGTAAATGCAGAGGCCATCTTACAAGTAGCAGTAGCATACACAATGTTAACTCAACTGCTTACCCACTAAGTACACCAAGAACCAGGTTAAGTACGAAAAATGAGCCAAGGATGATAAGACTAACAAAATAGATCCATGGCCATTCACATCCTATTGCATCATTTACCTGTAAAATGTAAGGAAATAAGTTATGATTCAGTCATTCATTAAACAGCAGAGTCCTTTTTGCAGCTGCCAGATCACGTAGGTTTCAACACTGAAAGTTTATGGCTTACTCAGTTCTTAAAAAAATTAATGAACATTTTTTGATTTCTTTACTTACCCAAATCATGTTGTAGATATGATGCCTTAGAAGATGAATCAAAATAACATTTAAATGAAGTGCAGGAGAATTATTATTCATTTTTATCATTTTGCCACAAATATGGACACAAAGAATATATATTGGTACGTCTAAACCCCGATTTTGGCATTTGTATGTTATTTATACGATAGCTACAGAAAACTGTTTCTGTTCTAATGAGAGAAGAAGAAAACAGAGGTTTATTAAAAGATGTCATCACAACTGAAGTCTCACCTGTGTAAAATAACCTGTGTGTTCATGGCAACTGAATTCAGGACTCTGCCTTCATGATGAAAAAGGTGTATGCTTACCCGCTCAATACACCAAGAACAAGATTTAGTACGAAAAATGACCCAAAGATGACGAGACTGACAAAATACACCCATGGCAATTCAAATCCCATAGCATCATTCATCTGCAAGAAATAAGATGATCTTATAGAGTAGATCACTATAGTAATAGCAATGAAGAGTCAGAGAAAAAGAGAATTTAATCATTTAGGTGAGATAGCATTCTATGCATTCCTTCAGTATTCAAAGAAGAACAATACAAGAAAGAAGGCACTGGCCACATTAGCTTTGCATTTCTAATACATACTCTAAAACAAAATACTGAGCAAACCTAGCATTCAGATCAAAAATATTATCAAACATAAGTGCAGCACTGCAACAGTTCTGTTTTTAATACCTAGAATATGAACTAAATTTCAGATCTCAGTAATAAAAATTACACAAAGTATATTGAAATATTAGGATTTTTAGTTCATATGTATCCTAGCTACATGAATGATCCTTTGAGAAAAGAAACAGTAATATATATCTCAACAGGACGAGCAGTATTATTTTTTCTGTAAAGTGGAATTTCAACATTTTTTCCTGAAATAATACAGTTGGATGCAGTCAGACATTTTAAATTAATTCAAAAAGAAATAAGTGAGAATGAATTTGTGTAAAAACATGAACACAATTTTAGGAAAATTAAAAACTGAAATAAAATTTTAGAAACATAGTAGAAACATGGAAATATTCCAAAAACACTTCTGAACAAAAATTATATCAAGATCAAGATTAAATGACATTTAAAAAGTTGTTACTGATTTTTTTTTTAAGTAAGGTTGAAGTAACTGAGCTGTAAATACACTCTTCATAGGCTCACACAAGGCCTTTTTCACTGTCTATTCTTAGCGAGGTCGTTATACCTATCAGAGGATGGACTTAAGAAACATACCCATCGAAATCTATTCAGAAAAACAGATATTTTAAAACACAGGGAAATTGTTTTTGTGTGTAGCATTCAGCTGCAAAAAGACATTTTGGTAAATTACAAAAATAAGTCTGACTTGGAACTTCTTGGAAATGTCTGTTGTGGGAGAGAAATTATTCTGGCTTTTTTGTTTATACTGACAAGTTTGCATTAGATTCTTCTTAAGATGCTTTTTAGCAATGAAAATTCAGTAGACAATAAAAATTGCATGAGTATTCAAGACTGGGCATGGTATTGTAGAGCAATCTTTGGGCAAACCTTTTTCTTCTTGCATGAATGCTGTTGGTGTTTGTTGTATCTGAAATTTGTGATTAGGCTTTGAGCTTTATCAATAGTCAAGTTTGACTCCCATCCTTAACATCTCTGTTGTAAGAGACATATTAAACATGGGAACAAATGTTTTTCAAACTGTACTACTTATTTTATTTTTTCCTATATCTTTTAAAAATGTGTCATAATCTCAGTTTCTGCAAGATGGCCCTATGGATAGTGAGGAGTGCACACGCATTAAGTCTTTGCAGGTTAAGGCCCATAGGCACTTTTCTTTAATGGTGATCTGTAGTAATGCCTCTTTATACTAACTAAACAAACCTCTCAGAGAAGCCAAAGAAGATTATTTTACACAACTTCTTCGTGCATCCTTTAAAATAATTTCTATATGTATTATCTCTTAAAATGCTTTAGTAATTGAACTGAGGCACTGAAAAGTAACTTAGAATTACTTAGACTTCCTGGGGAAAAATCTAAAAATAGGTATTTGATTTGGATTTTTTCCTTTTAATTTCAATAGAACTGTATTTTCGATGAATTAAAATAGAGAACAGTTATAGCCATTCAGAAAGGCTGGGATTATTACCTTCAATTTTAAAAGATCCCAAGTTTCCATAGTCCAATTCTGCAACAGCATATTCATATGGAAAACAAAGTTCTTCATAATGCTGCCATTATACTGACCTACTTATACTTAGTCTCCTGTGCAACACTTTTAGCAATGCTTAGCGTGTATTCTGTGGTTGTTTTTTTTAATTATTATTCATGCCCATTCCCTCAAAGCAAATCCCCTAAACTTGAGAAGTCTTAACAATGAAGACACTCAGGTATTTAGTAAAATACCCTATTGCCCAGACTGAATTTCTTCTTTGTCCCAGTGTATGTTGCCCTTTGAAACTTCTTTCAATTGTAGGCACAAAATAAAATTTACCTAATTTTTTTTTCAAAATACATATTCATAATTATTTTATTACTTTTTAATTTAGTTTCCTTCATAGAAATGATTCATCTGATACAGGCAAAGTGTTTTTCTAACAATAGCTGATAAGAGCAAATATTTTGATTAAATTTCAAATACATACGAATGCATTTTGCATTTACTGAACTATACCATTAGCAAACAGTTGTTTGCAAGTCACCAGAGTTGACAGTGAAGGCATAAATTCATCTGGTGTTGATACCAACATTTTCCTGCTATAAATATTTTTGAAAAACCTGAAAGACTAATATTTGCAATTTTACTTGGAGAAAAAAGAGCTCTGGGAATCACAGCAATCCAACTGGATGCACTCTTTTTGCTCACAAACAGAACATATTCAAGAAGCCAGGCATTGGGCTAACTTAGTGACCCAGGACCAAAGCTGAAATTTCTATGCTCCATCACAAAGGCTCTATTAGCACAGACAGCTGTGATTTGCATTTCCTTCATTCACTTTATACTGCATAGCATATGAAGAAAATTCCTTCTCATTTAGGCAGTTTGATTTTAAGCCCAATGCTTTAGGCTAACCTATCTAGGACTAATGCCCCATGATGTAAAAATTGGAAACTGCAGCTCACCAGTGCTAGAAGAAATGGTTTGGGCAGATGCTGAACTAATTCAAAAGCATTCCTAGCTCAGGAACCCTTGATCTAGTAGAACACCTTGGCAATAATCTAAGATTGAATTCCTAAAAGTAACAGCCTGGAACTGTATCTACTCAAGAATTTTACCATTTAATTCTAGAGACAATTAACCTCTATTCAAGTAATGCATTGTGATTTCTGTTCATGAAGTATTATTTCTGATTGCATTAATATCAGACATGGAAGTATAAAAAGAAGTTCTTTCCTTTTAGAAAACTTCACTACTCATTTCATGCATGTCAAGTGGCATTCCATAACTTTCAATTAAAGAAAGATTAAAGGAGTCAATTTGCCTTATGATTAAAAATTGAGGCAGAGCTTGGTTAATATATGAGCACAGGAAAATCTCCATCCTCAGAAACAAGGTAGTTTCAGTTGAAAGGATTACTGCTGACTTCTCACTCAAAGTGCAGAATAAGGAGTTATGAAGACACAAATTCCAGATGCATTGGAAGTTGCATCTAAGAAATATAAACCATAAAAGCCCCTGAATTATGCTAAAGTAACACCAGGAAATCTCAGAGATATCACACCTCAAATCCTCAGCAAAAAGCCTTGCAAGATTCCCACCCCCTGTGGCTCAGGGATGTACTATACCAAAGGAGGTGTCATATTCAATGGCTCTCAATGGACTTATCCCATCTCTTTTTGAATCCATTAAGCTTTCAACATCCATAACACCAACTGCAGAGACACCCCAAGTACCATCCTTCTTGACCTTCTTTGTGCCTTTTTCCGAATCTAGCTTTACTGTTCTAATTACTGTTCTAATTACTTTGTCGATCACATCAACCAGAGGACAGATGAGATGATGGATGATATGAAGGACAAAGTATTTTTCCTATCACTTAATTCTATTCCACCATAATGGCAGATGTGTACTACTCGCTTACCTAAGTGTTTAAAAACGCTTATTCTCCAGAGATGCCACTTTTGGCTACACTCTGGCATTTTCACTCCTTTCATACATATGTTAAATTAGATTTGTATGTTTTGAAATAGCTTTGAAAAGAATTTTGAACTGAACTCTGAAGCTCTTCCTATCCCTTTCATGAGTGATGCAGTAACTAACAGTTCAAAAGTTCTTGTAAAAGGGCCCATTTGTTGATGCTACCAGAGCTGGAGACAAGTTACTCCATGCAACTTAAATTTGTGGAGAATAATTAATTTTTGTTGTATATTTGGCTCTTTATGTTTACATGTATGTTTGTGAGTATAGGTCTGCGAAGTCTTGAAGAACTATCTTGAGCTGATAGAACAAACTCGGTAGAATCTGAAAAGGCCTCATATGGCATTTGCAGTGAATTATCTTGTTAGCTGTGCTGTAGCTGGAGTCAACTATCATTACAATGCCTTGTAGATGATCACAGACTAAGACTTTGAAGTGAAACAGGGAGAAAGCCAAATTTACAGCAGACATAACCATTAGTATTACACAGCAGCAGATGGCACACTCCAATCTAAAACATCGAATAGAAATCATTAAAATGTCTCATCTATCCCTATCTGTGGTAATTGTGAGTAAAATCCCCATATGCAATTGAATGCACATCAAGGTCTTATTTTTCTATACACCTGGCATTGGTCTACTGAAAACCATTGCAAGTTCTTGGTATGCATCAATGAATATAAACTCTAACTGGGGATAATGATAAAGCAATGCA